CCCCCCCCCCCCCCCAAAAAAAAAAAAAAAAAGAATAACACAAAAAAAGTCAAGTCTTTGGCCCCTAAGTTGTGTCCGGGTTACGGGCCTTATCCGTGAACGTTTCAAGCCAAGCAACTTCCTGGAGCCATCCTACCAACTCCCAGGGATCTAGCAAATCCCAGGGAGCCCAGGGAGGAGCATGGAAGCGGTGATGGTGGCGGTTTGGAGCAAACCGCCACGCCCGTCTCGTCCTAGGTGCCCGAGAATTAATTCAGGATTTTCAACATCGCCTAATCAAGTGCGTTTAACATTGCTTAGATGATGTTGTAAAGATTTAATTTTAAAGGGCGTTGTTGCCAGGGCTGTCTTTGAACAACGGGGTTTATGCTCGGTTCCACAGCATCTCCCTAAGAAAAGGGAGCGCCCTAGAGCCCTAGACCCCCGTTTAAGATGTTTAAGGAGGACCCTACACCACCCCCTTTAAGGAGGGCCCAGCATCAACCTCTCGTGTTGCAGCTCGTGCCAAAAGACCATCAAGCCTTCCAGGAAATCTCTTCTGAATCTCTCATCCTCCTCCAGCTTCTTCAAAAAGCCTAGGTTTAGGGTTTTGGGTTTGGGGGAGACTGAAGGATAGCCTTTGGGGTTGGCCGGATCGTTCAGAATTTAGGGGGAACTAAGCGGAAGCTTTGGGGATATATCGAAGAAAAAAGCCTATATTGTCCCTTAGCGGTTTGCCATTTTCGGGTCTCTGAACACATACTTGCTAATAGGAGCAAATCAGGGAAATTCAAAATTCCAATGGCCCACCCTGAAGCCGTCAGCCTTCGCATCCATGCCGGACCTACAGGCTCGGTAGTCAAGGGCAGGGAATCTAAGGTTTAGGGTTTCGGGGCTCTCAGATAAGTCCCTGGTACTTTGCAAGGAATGGGAGAACGGATCCCTAGTACCTTAACGTCCCATATACCCATATACCCCGATTCGCTACGAAGAACCAGGGAGATACTGTAATCAAGGAGCCGTAGTTGCTAAGTTTAGGGGATGTAAGGAAGCACACCAACCCTAAACCTAAACCCTAAACCCTAAACCCTAAACCCCTAAACCCTAAACCCTAAAACCCTAAACCCTAAACCCTAAACCCCTAATCCCCTAAACCCCTAAACCCTAAACCCCAGGCCTCAAAACACTGAGCTCCAGCACTTCACGACGATCCTGGGGGCGGCCTCTGCCACAGGCGCCACAGCGTTCGCCGTTGACAAACATCGTGGTAACAGCAGGGTGGAAACCTCGCCACTGAATTTTCGGATCTGCTTCAACTGTTATTCAGGTGTAGAAGCCTAAACAATCCTAAACCCTAAACCCCGGTCGCTTTAGGAAAGTAGGGGGGGGGGGGTGTTCGGCCTCGGGTTTCGGGCTTTACCAACATGTCGGCCAGCCCCCCACCTGTGTGGGACTGGAGTTGCAACTTCAGCTCCGACGAAGACATCTCCTCAGGGAGCTTGTGCCAGAAATCTTGGGGTTAGGCTACAAGAAGCAGACTGGCGACTGTTAACAGTGTGAGTAGCAAAAGCATGCGATAAGGATAGCAATAACAATGGCAATGCCACGAACAAGATCAAGCATGAGAACAGCAACAGCACGAGTACTAAGACTAGCGAATTGACAGGGACAAGACAAGTAGGGGAGGTCCTCTTCCAGGGAACATCCAACGCTTTTCCCGCTGACTGCGTTCTTGATCGGGATGGGACCACCGCCTCAACAGGCTTTGCAGATGGTTGTGGCGAAGGTTTCATTCGGGCTTGTGTAAGAACGGTCCCTAAACCCTAAACCCTATGAGCCCTAAATGGTTTATGATTTGAGTAGGGCCGAAACCCTCAAAACTCAACCCTAGAGCCGACCACACCCGGAAGCCGAAAAGGTTATGGCAACTCCACCGAGAGATCCTCAACGAGAGCCCAGTCACTTGGCACCAGCCATGGGTCACCGTCCTTTGTTGATGCTTGCGTTTCGGGCTTAAGTGGGCCGTTCCGCTTTCATCTTTGAAGAGTGACACTTTCAAAGACTTTCCTACTCCTTCAAGTGTCATTGCAATCTACCCGATCCCCCCATTGCCAAACACATGCATGCAGACCGGCAATATAAAATGCACACACACGCGCGCACACACACACACACGCACACAACCCGCTCATGCACATCACGACGCGACACGCCATATCTAATGAAATCACACACCACATCATGATACCACATGGTCGGACATTATGTGATGCCACACGCCCGCCGCCTGCTCACAGATGCCTCATCACCCGTCGTGTGCATGCACCCTGGTGTAGGGTTGAGGATTTAAGGCTTAGGTCATCAGTTCGCAGGCACAAAAGTCCTAGAGACTCCAATATCCCTTAATTTTCATGAAGGAATACACCCTAAATCATATTCGGAATCCTGCTATAATTCAAAGAATATTCCTTAATTCAGGGATATTGGAGTCTCTGGGTAAAACCCTGAACACAAAATGGGGGACCCTAAAATAGTACCCTAAATAGTAGGATCCTTATTATAAGGACCCCCAAAATAAGGTACCCCTTATTTTCGGATACTCCCACATCGCTGTTGCACCGATCGCGCCCCAAAGCTGCCAGAGGGCACGTGGCTCGTCACTGTGGCTCGAAGCTGCTGGCGAGTCGAATCCATTCTCCATGGCTCGCAGCCGGTGTAGGGTCTAGGGTTTAGGGCTTGGGGTTTAGGGTTTATAGGGTTTATAGGTTTATAGGGTTTATATGGTTTAGGGTTTAGGGTTTATAGGGTTTATAGGGTTTAGGGTTTAGGGGTTTAGGGTTTAGGGATGCTTTTGCTTGCGGGAATCTGCCGGAGACCCTGATGTCGGGCTTCGGGGAGTCTGAGGAATTCTAATTCTGGGCCTCAAGAGTTTTGGCAGAGCTTGGAGGGAATAGAATATAAGGATAAACTGGACTTTGAAGTAACCAGGGAGAAAAAAGTATAGACTTTATTTTATAATGGTTCCTTTAAGGAACAGGTCCAAAAAAAAGTATTCAAGTATGGTACTCTAGAACCCAGATAAAGGATACCATGACGAGCACTCAGGAATAATGCAAGGATTCAGGCCCCCCCCTAAGCCCTCAACCTTAAATCCTAAACCCAAAAAACCCTATCTATATATATATATTTCAGATATTTATATCTATATTTATATTCAAAACTTCCATGTCGAGGCACGGCTTCTGACAGCGGCCAGCAAGCTGTTGAACCGATAGCATGGAGCTTTGCATTCATGCTAGCGGTTTGGGGTGCAGTGTAGAGTTTAGGGTTTGAGGGATTAGGGGTTGAGGGTTTAGGGGTTTAGGGGTTTAGGGGTTTAGGGGTTTAGGGAATCATTCCCTGCCAGAAAAGATGTGCAACAGCACAGCCTGCACAACGTCTGCACAGCTGGGACCGTGAACCCCGTTCACCCCCAACCTTACCAAACATAGAACCGACACTCCAGTCGCCCCCCTGTCTGAACGCAGGAAAACAACCCACCCTAAACCTTAAACCCCAAACCCTCAAAAAAAAGAGGCTCGTGTATGCTCGGGCTTTAAGACCCTAAACCCCCAAACCCTGAACCCCTAAACCCTAAACCGCTTGAAGCTCTCCGCGGAGAAGCTCTATAGACTGTAGACCCGAACCCTTGTAGCCCCTCACAAGTCACGAAAACTTCCAAAGTCTGAAACCCCCAACCCTACACCCTGCTTTAGGGTTGGTTAAGGGTTTAGGGGTTTAGGGTTTAGGGTTTAGGGTTTAGGGGTTTACGGGCTAGGGTTTCGGAGCTGACGTTTCCGGCGCAGTTTCGGGGGCTCGGACTAATAACTCCCTTGCCTTGACAAGGAGCATGATAGAGATGCTGGCTAAGGCATTGAAAAAGCGGGGTGTAGTAATCCTTTGTCTATATACTGCACCCCAAAACCCTGAGCCCCTCTAGCGTCTACCTGCAAGACTGAAGCCTGCGCGACGCGGCCAAGACAGATGTCAATGATGTTTGGCTTAGGGTTTAGGGACACTAGGCCCTAATTTGGGGGTTTAAGGATTAATTAGGGCCGTTTAGGATTTAGGGACATTGGGCTGGGCGTTTAGGAATATGTTGGCTCAGGGCTTTTTCTGATAAGCCTTTAGGCCTTCTAAGTCAAGGAACGACAAGGATGTCGGGCTGCGATCCCTAAACCCTAAACCCTATAGCACATGAATCTCTACAGGGCCATGGCAAGGTCCTTCTATCGCAAGACAAGAGGAGGGTTTGGGAGGGTGTAGGGTCGGCAGTTCCAGCTGTTTTCGAACTCCAAACCCCATCATCCCAAGGCTTAGGGGTTTTCGCTTTAGGTTTAAGCTTTAGCCTTTAGGGGTAGGGCGAAGCTTAGCTCCGAGTGCCAGGCACGTCGAACATATCGGCGGTGATGGAAGCGAACTGACCTGGCGGGAACCCCAAAAATGCACCTAACCTAGACAGTACCGTAAGCATCACAAGGAGGATTTCAAAGACTCATCGAGACCGTGCGCAATTCAATCCTACACACCACACCAAGCGAGCACAGTGTCTCAATAGCTGAAATATGGTAACGGGGTAATTATACTACATAAAGAATATCCTGAGGAACCGCGAGCGTGAGGAATAATGAGTAATAGATTATTCAGGCATGTGTTAGGCCAAGCGCCGCCCTGTGGCGAAGATGAACGTCACCAAAGGTTCTCATCCGCAGCCGGCTGTGAATCTGCTCTGATAGTCGCCCTTGGCGGTGTTGGGTTTAGGATTGGAAGCCTTGAGCATTCGGGATCCTCACAATAAATAACACCTACAAATTCTACACAAATTTAGGCGTTAAGGATTTACGGCTGTCAGGTCTATCATGCATGTAATGTAAAGATCTTAATCACGAGTCCGGGCTTTGTAGAGCTGTTATCGGGTTTATAAGGGTTTCTAGAATTCATACAAGGGCCTTAACGAATTAATTGCAGTGGGATTCTGGGGGGGGGGGGGATATGTCATAGTAAATACAATGGGGAGCCCAACAGAATAGTACTACAGTCTCCATCGTAGTTCCTTTTTGGGGTTACCTTTTAGGATCCTTAATATAGATTTGGTTAAACCAAAAAAAGGAACTACAATGGAGACTATAGGTAGTACTACAAAGCATCCAGGCTCCTAGATTAAGAGAGCTTCTTGTCGAGCGGACTTTCCGAGAGGCGTGTCAGGATTCAACGGCTTCGGGTTCAGGTCTACGGCTACTTAACTTAAAATTTTGGAGCTTCGGTCCGCAACCTCCATGGATGCAGTTTGGGCTTAGGGGTGTTATTGCTTTTGGGGCTTAGGGTTTAGGGTTTTTGAGGATGGCTTTGGTCGCGATTAGAGTTGTAGTTGCCGTGGTTGGGCTGATTCGTACTAGAAGGCCGCTGCATGTGTACCACATCAACAAGAACCACAAAGCCCTCAACAGGAACCAAAGTAGAAGCCCACCAGAATCGCAACCAAACATCCGCTGGCCACACCTTCAACATCGAGGTCAGGACCGCTAACCCCCAGGCCGGGAGGGAAAGGGCTCTGGTTTTACATAAATGGGTTTAGGGTTTAGGGTTTAGGTACATGTCAAGACTGATAGATTCAACCTGAAACCCTACACCCTACCTACAGTCTCCATTGTAGTTCCTTTTTAGGGTTACCTTTTAGGATCCTTAATATAGATTTGGTTAAACCAAAAAAAGGAACTACAATGGAGACTATAGATAAACCCTAAAAAACCCTAAAAACAAGTCGGAACTCCAAACCCTAAACCGGACGTACGTAGGTCTTTGTCTATTGCGTGCTTGACGGAACATGGTCCCGCTAAAGTAAGCCCGGTCGAATTGTTCAGGCTCCTTGTCTTCAGTTCGGTCTGTGCCCGAATCTGATAAGTGTTAGGACTGGTAGAATCCATATCAGCATAACCCTAAACCCCTAAATCCATAAACCCCAAACCCCTACTTTTCCCCGAAGCCCTCCACTAGCATGAGTAGCCACAAGAATACCGCCTTCAAAAAACAGAGTAAGAAGGTCTGGTGGACCTAGCTTTAACGGTCTACCCATAGGCCCCTAAGTAGTCCCTTGTTGGGATTACCTTATAGGATTCTAAATAAAAACCATAAAAAGGAACTAAGGGTAGCCAGTGGCCCTCTACATCGTTTTGGGAATCCTTACTTCAAACCAAAGCGTCTTATCACCAGAAACATCACTCTGAACTAAACCCTAAACCCTGAGCCCTGTATCCCCAACCCATTGCCCTAAACCACCTAACTCCTAATCCTTAAAAGCTAAATCCCTACTACAGATCCTCCATACTACTGTTGATGATATACATCCTGCATTACCTTAAGGACCCTAAAAATATGGGAATTATGGTATCTTCCTTATTATGGGTCATGCAGGATTTATATCCTAAACCCCAAACCCTAAACTGGCCCTAAACCCTAAACCCTAAACTGGCCCTAAACATCAACCGTACCCCTGACCCGAAACCCCAAAGAGGGACCCCCACCTCCGGGCGCTTCAGGGACAGCGTGGCCACGGCACTGCGAAAGGCGAGGACCGACTCCCCCTTCGTTCATAGGGCTTTGGGTTTCTAGGTTTTAGGAACCCCATATGTCAGGGTTTGGGGTTTAGGGTTTAGGGTTTAGAGTTTAGGGTTTAGGGTTGATGATATAAATCCTGCATCACCTTCAGGACACTAAA